AACCTGACCCTCTGTTTACCCGAAAATGGATAGAGTTGAATTTATACGCAGTTCCGAAGATATGTGGTACAACTTAATACAGAATGTTAGGATAAATAAAAGGATGAATATAGGTTGGAGAAAACGTAATCCAGGTAAATCAATTATGAACAGTGAATTTAGGATTTGACAAAATAGAATCAATCTAAGAAATTCGAAAGATCACTCTTTCTTATAGAGGAAATAATACAGTCTTTGATAGTCTAAGTCCCAGAAAAAGATGCCTCCCAAGAATGATAAACAAAGCCCTTTTATAGTGAAGGGGTTTGGCTCCAAGTATAATAAAATAAACATTCAGTGGGAGACCCATGATAAATCATCTTTTCCATAATTTCTGCCAAGATTCTCTTTAGTGGGATTATAACGGCTTTTGTCTGCGAGCTCGATCTTGCTTAGAATCCTCGATTTTGGTTCGAGCTTGATTTCGTCTCGAACTCATGATCTTGGTTCGAGCCCTCGAATGGATTCCAGGTCGATGCAGGTTGGTTTTTGGATTATCAGCACGATAGATCTACCGGCGCCATGGTTTGATTCTTGTTCGAGTTTGATTATGATATCGATCTCAACACGGACCAGCCTCCCCGGGCTCTAGGTTAGTTTGTGCCCCCCCTTCGGGATCTTACTTCGATACACCACCTTTCGAACTGTACCGAACATGCCAAGGCTGAAATCCATTTCGACCGTATACGCCCTCCACTCAATTAGTAATAATAAATTGAAATAGCAACTTCACCCATCATTGTCATGACGAACAAAATATATGCAAGGGCAGAAATGTACATTATAGCTGCAAACCAAACTCAAAATACGGAAAACCATGCTCCAAAACCACAGGAATTCACAACCTAAAGCCTCCAGTTTTGTTTAGTAGTTAGCAGGTACCTATATATACAATTAGATGTAGAATAATCCATCCCCAGGTAAATCAACCAACATAGAAACCAAGTCTTTTGTAAAAGCACTAGCCTTCTTCAGCAAATTAAACCTTATATAGCTTCATAACCTTAGCAAAAAAAAGTTTCAAGAATCAAAATTGGAAAATGAGTTCAACAAGCAGAGTATGGATTACAGCAACTAGCTTGGGAGTCGTAGAAGCACTGAAAGACCAAGGAATTTGTAGGTGGAACTACGCACTGAGAACAATACATCAGCACGCAAATAACAATGTAAGGTCATATTCACAGGCCAAGAAGCTCTCCTCACTCTTCTTCTTTGGTTTCTGCAAACAATTTGAAGCAGTCTGAGTCGTCTTTGAGGAAAGTCATGTATTTGAGCTGTTGGGGTCCTAATTCAATCCTAATAGCAGTTAAATTTAGTGTTATCTTTCTGTACATAGTCTTTGACCATATTGAGAGGCCAAATGATGAATGGTTAAACGAGTAATTTTTAAAGCATGGGGCTAAATAGCCCAGCCAAAATTAATGGATAGACCTTTTTTGTCTTTTGCAATCCACATTACAATATTTTATTGTATTTGCTGAAACATCATACTATCTATTTAGAATTTACGCAAAAGGTAATGAGAATACAACCTACTTTGACCAAGTAGCGTATTCCCTTTAGCTACCGAACGGCCCAATTGGACGAGCATTAAGAGAAAACTCTTAATTAATCTTTGTTTCTTAATTTTCAAAGGTCCCCAAATAGTACAGGAGGAGTTAGAAAACGGGAAAAATTGAAAGAACTGAAACCTTACACTAATTGGTGAAAGATGAAATTGCCAGCAATACCAAACCCCGAGAATAGACTCTATTCCATAAGTAAATAGAATATACTTCGAGCTTTTGACTTTGGTCAAAAGAGTAGGGTCAATCACAAAGAAGGCATTTATCATTGAGAACTATGGCTATTGCGTTCAAACCTTCTACCAAGCAATTATAAAACATAATTACAAAGAAGAGTAAAATATATAATTGATTTAATAGAAGCATTAATTTGTGACCTATAAGTCACAAGTTTGAGTCGTGAAAGTAGTTATTAATGCTTGCATGGGTAGATTGTATATATCATACTCTTTGGGGACTCTTTGGGGTGCGACCCTTCTTCATAATCTACGTGAATGAGAAATGTTTTGTGCACATAAAGATTAATTCAAATTCTAAATAATACTAGTGGGGTAATGGTATCTCCCAACTATTCGCCAAATTGTAGAGAAAAGGAAAATGACCGGACACTTTTTGCACTAGAGGACCACAATATCATAAAAAAGATTTGCCTATGCTGTTCTTTTCATTATTATGCATGACACCAAATTATGCCTTTCAATGCGCTCAACTTTAATTTGAAAGCTTTGCATCCGCCTGTGGATATAATGAGTTCTTTAACTTCCTCTTGGACCAAAGTAAGAACAAGTCTACAAATAAATATAATTTGCTACATGAAATCCTTCTAATTTGTTGGAGAATCCTAAGCTTGGCTTCGAGGTGTTGGGAGGAATTGGATTTCATCTCAAAGCTTCCTAATCTATGGCTGAACCCTAGACCATTTAATTAATTAACATATTAGCCCAACATATCCCGTGCAATTCTTTTATAATAATAATAATAATTTATTATTATTATATTTATTACTACTACTAAGTAGTGGGCCCGGAAGGCTTTTTTCTCCAAGATGGCATTCCATCTCAGCAATTATATTTGTTTTAAATCGATTAAAATCTGATGTGGCTGTCTGCTAGTTGTTAGGGGTAGTATTGAGCCATTGGATTAACGGTAGGGGCTTGATACCAAATTCAAATGGAGGTATAATTGTCCCATTTTCAATAGTTGAGGGGCAATTTGTGTCCCATTATTATTATTATTATTATTATTATTATTATTATTATTATTATTATTATTATTATTATTATTATTAGTATCCCAAATTCACCAGATCACCAGTTCAGATTGAGACAGATATGCTCAATACTCTATCAAAAATAAAAATTAATTCTCAGGATCCAAACTTAGACCTATATTTAAGGACAAAATAAATCATTCCTAGAAGTATTAACATAGGCGCTCACCTCTAAAAATAGCCAACAGATGTATAATCGATATAATGCGTATAACCGTATATAATTAATGTATAATCTATATATATTAATAAAAAAATAAATTAGACCGGCTATTTGTATAGCATATAACTGCCTTATTTTCAAGACTAGAAAATCCACTTTTATGGAGGTTGTCTACCAATATAACATCTGCTAGTGTAAAAAATCCTTTAAGCTTTCTCATTGAGGAAATACTGATTTTTCCCCTTAAAAATGAAAAGGAAAAGAGCATACGAGTAAAAAGGAAGAAATTCCTCCGTCTTAAATGAACCGATCAGATACTATGGTTTACTGCTACTTTAAAGTGTTCAACAAAACAAGTACAAGAGAACTTAAACAGCATACAGCCATGGAGCAAATAACCATGTTCAATGATCCTCCCCAAATGTTGTTAACAATAAAGGCTAAAGCTGAAAGCTCAGTACCAAAAGGATGTTCGATCAGACCACTGCATACAAGCAGGAATATTTCTTTGGCTGCATAAATATTATTGCACAAGAGGGTTAGTAGCTCACAAATACTGAAATTTGGCAATTCCAACAACACAATGAGAGATGGTAAAATTCCTCCTAGTGCACAACACACATCATCTCCAAGACACTGTAAATCAGGTTTTCGAAAACATTTTCCACGTTCAATTCTGAATCTGTCTGTTTCCACGAAACATGTTTCAATTTGGGAAAATTAAATAATTACAATTAATAAACTTGTTAGGTAGTGCTGATCTGATTAATTTTTTCCCCCTTCCATTTCTTTGCAGCTTTCCACAAACAAAACTTAAAACCCATGAGCCAAGAGAATACTTAAGCGTATTCACTTATAGACCAGCACGAACATGGAGCACTCGCTCCGTGAAAGGCATACAAATCAAATTGTGTAAAAAGTGAGAATTAGGGCACTTGGGGTGAGAAAAAGCTAAAAGCCAGTGTTGATCATGGCTTTTGCCCATTAAACTTGGCCTCTGCTACTAAATAAAAGGCTTATATGATTCTCCCTTCTTTAGTACTATATATATTGATGGGTGGTTAACAAGTTTCTAAAATAAAATATCAATTTACTCATTGTTCTCAAATTCCTTTTCATAATCTAAAAAATTTTGGTTTCATTGTTTTAGTTTTCATATTGAAGAATCCCGTGAAAACTGTAACTATTTCACCCAAAATCAAGAGATTCAGATACCAAAAACTATTAGAAAATACAAACAAGTGGAATTAGCATTCACCAGATGTAGTAATATGATACAAACTCAAAGCAATTGAAGGATGTATAGCTAACCAATATCAGGGAATTATTTTGCATATAAATAAAATTCATCACTAAAACTTCAGATCAAGGAATAATTATGCATGCCACATTTGAATCTAATCAACGAATCTTCAGATCACAAATATCTTGAAAATCATCTAATAGAAAGCAAACTCTCAATTTGGTTATCACATAATATATGTCTAACCACGATTAAGACACTTCCAAGTTTTCTCTAGCTTCCCTTCACCGACCCTGCCCCATGTCCCCGACTATAAATAACAGACTTGATCATGAACTTTGAAGATCAAGACATCTTTGAATGTAGAAAGCACAAAGGACTTAGTGACAGCTTGTTGTGGCAAGTTAAAGAGCACAGAAGAAAGGCAAATTTCTCCTGAAGGGAGAAAGGGGATGGAAAAGAGGTAAATTTCAGGGCAAAGGCAGATAGCGTAGACTAAACTTATGAGTATAAATTAGGAATGGTAATATTATAGCAGAGTAGCAGAGACAAAGGACAAGAGAATTCGGGGAGAGAGGGGAGGGATGGGTTTGGGAGCGCGGGGGGAGAGGGGAATCTTCTTTTGCACTAATATTTTAATGCTCCCCTCCATTTCACCCATGTTCACAAAATCGGGGTTCCTAAAAGGCAGCCTCAAACACTGTCCAAAAGAGCAGCAATTTAGAGTCTTTTGCTAAAGTCCTCCCTCAAGCGAGTCAGTGGTCGAACAAAAACAACATTTATATCTTAGGGATAATACATTATTACGCCTTGAGGTTATCGCATTTTACCAATTGCACTCTCATACTTTGTCCTATGACCCCCTTATATTTGTTTGAAGTGGTCTAAGTTCCACCTTTTGAAACCGATACCAGTCTTAGAAGAAGCAGTGTACTGCACACACCAATCATCTTCTGACGCGTAGTTTTTCTTTTTAATACTATATTTTATTTTTCAGTTTTTACAAAATTTCTTTCACTAAATATATCTTTTTTCCTAATTTCTTCTCTTTCTTCTTCCCCACTAATATTCATTTTTTTCACTGGTAAAAATGAGGAATCCGGCGATTGAATAGAAATTATCACCGGAGGAAAGAAAAGCCACCTAAGTTACTCGGACTCTTCACATTCAGTGCCGCACCCGTGTCGACACGACGTGGGTGTGGGATCCGTGTCGGATCTGGTCAACCGATTTTGGGTACTTTGACCAAAATCAACGGAGAAATTTGGGACAGATAGTATGATTTTTGAAAACAAATCAAAAGCTAGGGTGATATGGAAGAAAATGGAATACCTTGTATATATAAACTTCTATGTCAGTCCTTTTCCTTTTATCTCCTTCTTAAATTCTACTTTTGTTCAATATTTTCTCCTTCTCGGAATACCTTGTAAGTTTTTCACATGTCTCATAATTTAGACATATTTTTATAACTCTATTTTTAAATAATTGAATTATTTTTAGCCGAATCCCCGCACCCGTACCCGTACTTGGATCCGTACCCCCGAATCTTTAAATTTAGATCATGAAGGATCTGACCTCTAGATCTGCACCCGTATCGGACACCCGCACCCGAGTCCGAGCAACTTAGAAAGCCACCATCTTCAAGAAAGAAAGCCACTCAGCCCATCAAGCCAGAGAGGAAAAAAAAAGCAAGCGGGGCGGGCTTACTACTTAGATGCTTTCTACACTTATCCGCTCCGCACTTGGCTACCCAGCGTTTACCGTGGGCACGATAACAGGTACACCAGAGGTGCGTCCTTCCCGGTCCTCTTGTACTAGGGAAAGGTCCTCTCAATGTTCTAACGCCCACACCGGATATGGAACGAATTGTCTCACGACGTTCTGAACCCAGCTCACGTACTGCTTTAATGGGCGAACAGCCCAACCATTGGAAACATAGCCCCAGGTGGCAAAGAGTCGACATCGAGGTGCCAACTCCAAAATAATCCAGCTTGCACATAATGTGATTTGGCGGCAATTTCTAAAATGCAAAAAGGAAACCATCGAAAATGACCAGAAAATCTTCGGCTCTCCCTCTGCCTAAAATCTCCAGCGACCCCCCAACCGGAAAATCTCCCCTTTCATCCATCAATACCACTAGTTAAACACAGTCGAACCAAAAAAATTGAGAGAAAAGACCTTAAACCACCACTGCAAAGACAAGTAACCATTTCCACTCCAAGTCGTCACTAATCAAAATCTAAAAACCAAAACTTTAAAATGCCAGTACTTCAGATAATAGGAAGTGGTTGAGGAGGTGATGGGAGAAGAAAGAAAAAAGAACCGAAAAAAATGGAAAAATAGGGAAAGAAAAATGAAGGGAGGTACTGGAAGTGGGGAGAAGGTGTTGTGAAGCGTGGAGGTGGGGAAATGGGTGAATAGTTCTCTGGCATGGTGAAGAAAACAAGAAGAAAGAGAAAAGGGAAAGAAAAGGAAAAGGAAAATAAAAAGATTGAAAACAATAATGAAAAAATGATCAAATCTGTTATTTTGGGATTCTGACGCGCTTGATTTTCGTGCAAACAGTCATAGGATCCCCACAACATATGAGGGTGCAATTGGTAGAGAGGGACAACCAATGGGCAATTATGTATTATCCCTATATCTTATAGTAGGGGTATCTCTTTAAGGTACTCATTTTACATGTTTCCTCCTAAACTTTCCGTTTAATTTTGGAATTTCCTACAATGTGTCATATTTCCTACTAATAATATTATTCTAAACGACTTCCATGAGCTTCAAGAATTGAAATTTATTAAATTTATCAACTTTAAATTTTGATGTCAAGTTTCCAATAAAAAATAACTTTTCAACTACTCTTGTAATATTTTCTTCCACTACTAATTATTTATAATATACAAGCCAAACTAATCATACAAACTACATCCTCAGTCAAACATGTCCAGTAAAACAGGCAGAGGAGTGGCATTTGTTTTGAGAATTCTAAACATCAACACTACTAGTTTGTCCATTTTTTGCTTTTAGGATCAGCAAGCATTAAGGTAAGGTTGTGCTGAAGGTCACAGTTCTTTGGTCAACTCTATAAGTTGAAAGAGCAAGTAGCACGATATCACAAGTCGGTTCTTAAAGCATGTTAATATTTTTTGCAATTAGTCTATGTTTTACTGCAGCTAGCTCACTTGGAGCTCATGGTGGATCTTAGATTTTATTTGTAGGTGGGAGACTTGGAGACTCCAGAATAAACATGTTATAAACTTTAGAAAGAAATATCAACGCTTTAAAACATCAGAAGAAAAATAAGATAAGTCTAACAGTTCCCATAACAACCTATAATACCTGAGGCCTGATGATAGGGAATTCCAAATTATACTCTAAACCTTGCTCAACCTTGCCATCTTCCTCAATCATCGCTTGAAAAATGTCCTTGCCGCCCTTGGATGTCTTGACTGAAAAGGTAACATAGAAAATGAAGTTACGACAGCCACCTCCATTCACCTTCAAAATATTGTCAACCTCCCACTCGGTGCCCTACCAGTACAAAGGTAATTTTATAAGTTATCAAGAGGAAAACAACGGAAAAAGGAAAGCACAAGACAAATGAAAGTGCAGCTTGAGCATACATATTTCTCATTGTATATCTTTAGTGCCCTTCCTGCATAATCCTTCAATAGGACGACATTCTCAGGTTTGTCTAAGAAGAATGGCATCGGGAAAACTGTAATCATCATGCATTCTCCTGGAAAATCTTTGATCTCAAATCCCTAACAAATTACAAGCTAACAAATGAGACACAAAAATCGCCTTTATTTCCTGATAAGAAGAGACAAACATCAGCTATTGCATCCACTTTGTTCCTGCGACAAGTTAACTTTCAAATAGATGATTCATAAATTGCAAAAGTTATTCTGTGCAAGTTTTTCAAGAATGTATTAGCTTGTGGTTACCAAATTCTAATAGTAATTTGCCACGATAACTAATGCCATTTAGCTTTATGGAACCATTTTAAATGGAGCATAGGTTACACGTATTCTTCTCTTTTCCTATACTTTATTTGGCAAGTGAATTTCATGAATCTTGAACCATAATCCCACAGTAATAGAAAAGAACTTGGCAGGTAGACAAAACTTGGCAGTGAATTTCATGAATCTTGAACCATAATCCCACAGTAAACATTCTCCCCCATGATTCTACCGTTAGCCTGAACATGGAAGTGATCATGTGCATCATTCTATGCCATGGCTAACTTATAAAAAGCCAGGCACCAAAAACTAACTAACTAGCATGCACCAAAAAGCCATGGTTAACTTATAAGAAGTTAGAAAATCATATTTAGAGAAACAAAAGTAGCAAAAGCAAAATGAGATCATAGTCATAACAGGAAATATAATTATAATATCTGAATACAGATTATTGTACATTTCATCTAGCATGCACCAATAGACATAGTTAACTAATGTAAAGTTAGAGCGAGATAGACAGACTAAAAGTAGCTCATGCTCAACAGAATCATCCCAAAAAGGGGAAACAAAATTACATACACATTGATGTACTTATTATCGATGCACATATTACTCAAAAGGGAACTCCATGTATAAGACACGCAACATACACAGAAGTGTATGTGTGTGTATATATTTTCTTTTTTCTTTTTTTATTTTTTATGATGATGGTGTCTGGGCCTGCTTGGTAGGAAAACTCTTACTACCAAGGCTTAGGCATATGGATCGAAATAAACTAGTGTTTTTTGTCTCCACTGGTATTTGAACCTGAGAGCTTGGTTCTTCTCCCACTTTATTTAACCCTCGGGTGCCAGAACTAGTTAAAGGTTAGCAAATTATGGGGTATTTTTCTGTATATTGCATGGAAAACAAATGGAGTAAAACATGTTGAGCTGTTGGATAGTAGCCTAGATCAACCAGGCCATTCTGTAATCGTTAATAATATTGATCACCGATTATTTTCCTGATTCATGAAGAATTTTATGTATTAATGGGGGGATTGGGGGAAAATTGAATGACATGGGTTAATTAGGTACCTCACTCTCCTCGACCTGTTTGAGGTACTTCGCCCAAACAACTCTGTCCATCTTTTTGGGGGATATGAGCGATACCCTTCTGACTCATACCCATCATCTAGAGGATTTATGGGACTGGACGTACCATTCTCATCACCGGTGAAAGTCATCTTGCAATCGTCCTCTTCATTAACCTTCTCCGGCGGGATATCCCTTGCGTCAGAGAAATCTCTGCTCCGAACCTCTGCTGACGAAGAAGCCACGCTCTGAAATCACACAAATTGGATCACAACCTACAGCCTACACGGAATTTATGTACTACTTAGTATAGTGTAATTAATATAAAGTGTATATAAAAAGAACAAATTATTGCGTCTATATCTCATACCGTTGAATACATAGGTTTTAAGAAATTACATAAAATATTATTAACTAATATATATAAATTAACTGTAGGTTCCTCAAAAATATTGAATTGATCCGATTTAGCTAAAATAAATAAATAAGTCTTGCTCCAATCCCTCATACTTCAGATGTCTCATTATAACTTCAAGCTTTACCTCCAATTATTGAAGTTATCTGATTTTTTTTTTCTTATGGTATTAATTGATAAAATATACTTGATAAAAAAATTAATAACAAATTATGACATAATCTATTCTTATTCTCTAAAATTATGTTGTATGAACTTGACATGATATCCTTTCATAAGTACTTCTATAAGTTGATATTGAGTTAAAGAGTTTGCCAAAAGGTAACGAGAGAATTTGTATCTAGGGAGTAGTATTTATTAGAATATATACTGATATCTTTGTACACAAATGTTATAGAATGAGTGTTTAATTAAAAGGTAGAAAAATCGTGCAACTTTATATGTGCATGCATTTTGGTCTATCAACTTTTTACATTAGATCCTTCCACTTTTATAGTAATCTAGTTTTCATGTATGTTTTTTGTGTGTATCTCATATCAATGAGTATGCAATTTTAAGAAATCACATAAATAATTTTTAAAAATACCAAATTGATGTTATTGCTATTATCTAATACAACAAAAAAATATTTATCCAAAATATTTCCTTGGACTTAAGAGAATTATTATATGAAAACTGTTGTTGTTCCTAGTACCTAATACTAAACACAAATATATAACACAAAAGTACTTTTATCACAATTATTCAAAGATTTATCAATTAATACAGATTTTAAAAAAAATCTTTTGGTGTCATGGTCCGAAATTCCCACCTTCAGGACCGTGATGGCGCCTAATATTTCACTTGCTAGGCAAGCCAATGCTAGAATAATTTTAACCATTTTAAACAAATTAAATTAAACAAAAGTTCATTACTGAAATAAAGTGCGGAAGACCATAACAAACGAACCATCCAAATACATTTCTGAATCTGGTGTCACAAGTGCACGAGCTACTAGAATAATAAAAATAAAGGCCTGAATAAAATTCAAGTTGTTTGAAAGATAATACACATCTAAGATAAGATAGAAGGGGACTTCAGAACTGCGGACGTTGTGTAGCTATACCTTCTGATGACCCAAAAGGTCATCTTTAAATTTAATAATTAATTCTGTGTTCTAAGACCTCGAAAAATACTATTTATCATTCCTCGACTTGTGTGCACAGTCCGTATAATTTTTCGAAAAGTTTTTATGTGAAAAATGTATTAAAATGTGAAATAGAGCCTTAAAAACTCAACTGAGTTGACTTTGGTCAATATTTTGAGCAAACTAACCCGGATCAGTATTTTGACAGTTCCGGAAGATCCGTATCATAATTTGGGACTTGGGCATATGCCCAGAATTTAATTTGGAGGCCCCTAGCTCAAGTTATGGTCATTTAACGGAAACAAGAAATTTAAAGGTTAAAGATTTCCAACGTTTGACCACGGATTTGACTTTTTGATATCCGGGTCGGAATCCAATTCCGGAAATTTGAATAGCTATGTTATATCATTTATGACTTGTGTGCCAAGTTTGAAGTCATTCCGAATTCATTTAACATGTTTTGGCACAAGTTTTGGTAAATGGTAAAGTTTGAAACTCTTAAGTTCGAATCGAGGTATGAATTATAATTTCGATATTGTTTGATGTGATTTGAGACCCCGAGTAAGTCCGTATTATGTTATGGGACTTGTTGGGATAATTGAACGAGGTCCCGAGTGGCTTGGGTGAGTTTCGGACATGTTTCAGATCATTTTTGCAAAAACTACCAGTTCTGGTGTTTCGCACCTGCGAGTTTTGGAGCGCAGGTGCGGCGCCGCTTCTGCGGCTCGGCCTTCGCAAATGTGGAAGGCACCTCTTCTGCGTCTCCTTCATGAGCTTCTGCGCAGCCGCAAATGCGGCTCAAGTTCCGCAGATGCGGACACACTCTAGGCAAGCCATTTCGCAGATGCGAGATTTTTCTTGCAAATGCGAGCTCGCAAATGCGAAAATAAGTTCGTAGTTGCGAAAATGCTAGACAGAATACTTAAAAATCGGGAGTTAGCCAATTTTACTCATTTTTGAGTTTTGAGTCTCGGATTTAGGCGATTTCAAAGGAATTTTTCACGACTTTGAATTGGGTAAGTGTTCTATAACCAAAAGTGATTATATTTCATAAATCCATGTCTATATTCATCATTTATTTCGGATTTAGATGGAAAAAATTGGAATTTTTGTAAAACTTTCTAAAAAAGAAAAATTAAGATTTGAAGGTCCATTTGACATCGAAATTTGGTAATTTTTGTATGGTTGGGATCGTCTCTGAACAGATTCGTAAGTTTTTCCGAGTTTCGAAACGTGGGCCCACTGTTGATTTATTAGATGAATTTCGAATTTTAATCCGAAAAATTAGTAAATTCATATGGAATTAATTCCTACGATTTATATTGAGTATATTGAATTGTTTATGACTAGATTTGAGGATTTCAGACACGAATTCGCGAGGCAAAGGTTTATTGGATTCTTGAATTTGGTTGCAAAGCGAAGTAAGTGTCGTGGTTAACCTTGACTTGAGGGAGTAGGACTTATTTGACTATTTGCTACGTGATTTAATGTGCGGGTACAATGTATATGTGAGTTGACGATTACTTATGCGTTGTGGTTGAGTCAAAGTATGTAGGTGGAATTTGTTTATCGAAAATAATTGCCTATTTAATTAGGATATCCCTGCTTGAGTTTATTATTGATTATTTGATCATTATTCATGAAATTATTATTTATTTAATTATTGTTCAATATTTTGGAAGGTGAAGTCGGTCTTCTGGTACTGAATTGATTGATGATTGTATATCCCCGCATTTAAATACTCTTTCGAATTTATATTATTATTTTCATGATAAGGAAGAGTGTAAAAGCACGAAGGGTGATGTCGTGCCATTTTTATTATTTATAATATACGAAGGGTGTAAAAGTACGAAGGGTGATGCCGTGCCATTTTTATTATTTATAATATCATTGTCATGGTAAGGAAGAGTGTAAAAGCACGAAGGTGTTGTCGTGCCATTTGTGAGTGTAAAAGCACGAAGGGTGATGCCGTGTCATTTTCAGAGAGTGTAAAAGCACGGAAGGTGATGCCGTGCCAAATGAGAGTAAAAGCACGAAGGGTGGTGCCATGCCATTTTTATATCATTAGTTGCTCATTTTATTGTTGAGGAATTATTTGGCTGCTAAGTGATAATTCTCATGCTGAAATTATTATATCAACCCCTTTCGCATGTTCCCTCCCAAATTCATAAAGTGTTATTTATTGTTTTATTGTTGCTTCATATTTGTATATACTTGTATAAGTTATTTACGTACGTGTCCTGTCATAGCCTCGTCACTACTTCGTCGAGGTTAGGCTCGATACTTACGGAGTACATGGGATTGGTTGTACTCATACTATACTCTGCACTTTTTGTGCAGATTTTGGAGTTGGTCCCAGTAGCGTACCATAGACGTGCTCGGATTCAGCTACTCAGAGGAGACTTGAGGTATAACTGCACATCGTTCGCAGTTCTGAAGTCCCCTTCTATCTTATTTCAGTTGTGTATTATCTTTCAAACAACTTGAATTTTATTCAGACCTTTATTTGTATTATTCTAGTAGCTCGTGCACTTGTGATACTAGATTCGGGTATGTATATTGATAATTCGGTATTTATGGTCTTCCGCACTTTATTTCAGTAATTGACTTCTATTTAATTAAATTTGCTTAAATATAGTTAAGATTATTTTAACGTTGGCTTGCCTAGCAAGTGAAATGTTAGGCGCCATCACGATCCTAAAGGTGGGAATTTCGGATCGTGATAGTTGGTATGTACTTAGAGTTTGAAGGATCGGTACGGAGACGTCTGTACTTATCTTTCGGAGGCTATGCAATTTAGGAACAATATCACTTCTTTCTTATTCTGTCGTGCGATTTTATTCTATCATCGATGATTGAACCATTCTATTCGTATTCTCTCGCAGATGGTGAGAATATGTAATACATCTACCGATGGACAGGGACCAGAGCCCCCAGTGGCAACTATGACCAGGGGTAGAGGTCGAGGCCGAGGTCGTGCTAGAGGCAGAGGCAGAGGCATAGGTAGAGCTCAGTCTAGAGCTTGAGCAGCAGCACCTGTTGTAGAACCTCAGGTGGATCTTCAGGAGGAGGTTCCAATTCAGACTGTACCAGTTGGACCAGTTCAGGTCACGGAAGGATTCATAGATACCCCGGTGCTTCAGGATGCTCTAGTCCATTTGGTGAGTCTTTTGGAGGGCGTGGCCCAGAATGGTGCATTTCCAGTGGCACCAACCGTCTCATAGGCTGGGGGAGGAGCACAAACTCCCATTACTCCCGCTTCGAAGCAGATGGCTCCCAAGTATCAGGCTCCAGCAGCCCCGCCAGTTGGGATAGTTCAGCCAGTTATTGCGGCACAGGCTGGTGATAGGCCCGCCATGTCTTCTGAGGACTTATTGAGACTGGATAAGTTTACTAAGCTCTTTCCAATTCACTTCAGTGGTATACCTTCTGAGGACCCATATGATTATCTTGACCGCTACCATGAGATGTTGCAGAACATGGGTATAGTTGAGACCAATGGGGTCGATTTTGCTGTATTTTAGATGACGGGTTCCGCCAAGAGGTGGTGGAGAGATTTTATGTTGACCAGACTAGCTGGGTTGCCTACACTGACTTGGGAGCAGTTCTCACGGCTATTTCTAGAGAAGTTCCTCCCTATCACATTGAGAGAGGATTTGCGCAGGCAGTTTGAGTGTCTCTAGCAGGGCAGTATGACTGTTACTCAGTACGAGACCTATTTTGTAGATCTAGCCCGTCATGATC